GTAACCCCTTGAAAAAGGAAGGACAAAACTCAAGGTCCCCAAAGACCAGTGTCCAGCTCTGCCATCTGTGGCTTAGGTGCTTCTTTCTGGAGTCCCCGAACAGTCCAGACGGCCAACAGGACGGTCATCAATGCACCGATCTTGCAGATGCCAGACCCTGCACCTGCCCCCTCCACCACCTTGCTTCCTGGGCTTCAGCCATACTAGCCTTTAATGGGTTCCTGAAATTCAGTGAGTTCCCTGCTCCTCCAGGAGACTTTGCCCATTCTGTTCCCTCTGCCTGGGGCTGTTCCCCAAGTCCACTCTCCTGACCTTCTTCACTTTGCTCCCTTCAACTCTTTCTTCAGAGCCCGGCCAAAGGACCCCTTCCTCCGGGACACTTCAGTGACCCCTGAAGTCAGGCAGGCTTGTGCCCCTTGGTATGGGCTCTCATGGCACACGCTCTCCTCTCTAGCACTCTCTGCAGTTGTAACTTCGCACACATTTGCTGAGCTGTCTGAGGGTTAGCGTCCCCTCACTAGGCTGTGCGCTCCATGTTGGCTTCATGCTTGTCTCTAGCCCAGGTATTTCTGTCTGGATGTTCCATAAGCCCTTTAGGCTCGTCATGTTCCATGTCCCACCTCGGACCAGCTCATCCTCATCTCAGTAAATGCCACCTCTGCTCTTCCAGGAGCCCAACCCGGAAACCTTGGGAGTGGCCCTAACATCTTTTTTCTCCCTCCCAACTCCAACCCTAGTCCCATTCGATCTCCAAATCCAGTCAGTTTACTACCTAAGTATTTCATGGACCCCTCACCTTCTCTCCTGGCCCCTGCAAGCCCACCCTCCTCATGGAAGCCAGGATGAAAGTTTGAAAATTCAGTTTTATCATTTCACTTCCCTGCTCCAAACCCTTCAATGGCTCCCTGCTGACCTCAATACAAAGCTTACACTCTCTCTTGGGACAGAAGGGCCCTTAGCTATGTGGCCTCTGTCTAATTCTCCAACCTCTTTTATCACTCCCATCCCCCCGAGAACGCCATGCGGAAACCCCCTCCGGCCATGTTCAGGTCACCAACATGCTCTCTCTGGCTGCTGTCTGGGCCTTTGCTCATTATATTTCTCCACCCTGAAAGCTCTGCCCTATAAAATTATTCGAGCCTTTAGTTCTCAATCTAGAATATGCTTCTTCCAGGAAGCCGTGCATGCCCACCCCACCACCACCTCCTTTGCAGCACAGCCTCCTTCCCATCACTACACTTATGAGGCTGTATCATCATCTCGTTTCTTTGTGGGGGATCAGGGTCTTGCCTGCTTTGGTCGCGGCCTCCTCAGCGTCCAGCTGTGCCTGGCACATATACTCGGACAGATGCCACAGGAGTGAAAGCCTGAATGAACCAAGACTTTCATCTTCCCAGCGGCTGCTCACTTTGACAAGCCCTTGGTTGCTTCCCGGTAACTTTCTCCTGCTTACCTACACTTATTCTGCCTGCCCTGGTAATTCCATCCAAGGCTGCACTGCCTCCTGCCCACGGCTTCTCATAAGGAAAGTGCTGTCCTTTCTGTTCTTTCTCTTATCCAATCTCCCTGACAAGGTGGCCTCATTAATGGTTCTGAAGCCATCCCAGCACTTCAGCACCCTTTTAAGATCTTTTTCATCCCCCCACCCCCAAAACTCTCCTTCTGGCTGTGACTTCCATAAATTTTGCACATTTAATTCCCTGATGCTGCTCAATTCTTACATCCCAGGCTGAGCTAAGCCCCTGAAGTAATTTAGGTAACAGCTTCATTATCTCATCTTTCCTTTACTCTAAGCTTTCCATTTCTATTGCCACCTAGGAAGCAGTGAAAAATGGGTTGTGAAAAGTATTTTCTGCCCAAACCTATTTCTTCCCTTGCAGTTCTTATCTTGGTTCATGTCATCAGCATCCACCCAGTTGCCTGAGATCTGAACCTCAGAATCACCATCTACCCCTCCTTCCTACCTCCTACTCTTTCCAGGATGTCTCCAAGATCATCTGCTCTCCTGCTGAGGAGTCCCCCAAGTCCAGCCTTCTCTGGCCGCCACCCAAGCCCTCATTATCTTTATTTTCCTGGACTAAGATCACCTCCTGACTGGTCGTCTTGTCTCCAGCCCTATGCCTGTGCCCACACCCACCTATCCACCATCTATTCATTTATTCACCCATCCATCCACCCATTTACCCATCAATCCAATCACCCACCAACCCATCCACCCACCTACCCATCATCCATCCATCCATCCATCCATCGGTCCATCCATCCATCATCCTTCCATCCTCCAATCTGTCCTCAATGATCTTTCTAAGACACACATTGGTCACATCATACCTCTGCTTAAATAACTTCCATAACTCCTACATTAGAATCTTCTAGAAAATGTTTAAAAAATACCAATACCAGGACTTACCTCCAGAGATTATGACTTAATTTGTCTTGAATGGGGCCTGGGTCTTGGTAGTTTTAAAAGCTTCCCAGGTGGTTCTAATGTGCAACTCAGGTTGAGAACCGTGTGGCCTAGAGGATAAAGGCCCAGCTCATTCACCTGTCATTCAAAGCCCCTGCCCCGCTCAAGTCAAGCCCTTAACCAATCTCCCCAGCCTTCTGTCCTACCTATCCTGTCCTGCTTATCCTCTCCCACCACAATTGGAATTCTTGCTCTACTGAGCTACTTCTCTATCTTTGTATCCACAGTTTCCTCTGCTCATAATTCCATCTTTCTCAGCCCCTACCCATTCTTCAAGCCCCAGCATGAATGTGACCTTTTTTCTTTTTATGGGCCTCTCTTCCATAGCCTCTCCTATGCGTTAGGCACGTTGCTCAGCACTGGATGTGGCACTAAAACAGAAACAGTCCCTGCTCTGAAAGAACTTACAGGTGAGGGGGGATGGAAACTCCTTGAGGCAGATATTCACAAACTTGAACGTGCGTCAGAATCACCTGGAGGTCTGGTTAAAACACAGACACTGAGCGCACTCGCACTGTTTCTTACTGAGTAGTCTGGAGTGGAACCAAACCTGCCATGGCCAGGAGTGGTCCTGCATTCCGATACATCCCCAAGTGATGCTGCTGCTGCTGCTTGGGGATCACATTTTGAGGACCTGCGCCTTAGAATGTGGTCAGAGGCATGCTCTCTGGGGAGGTATCATTTAAACTGAGACCTAGAGGAAGAGAAAGAGGCAGTCATGACCGGAACAGGGGTTAACACACCCCAGGTGGAGGGGACAGCAGGGGTAAAGGCCGGGTGGGAAAGAGCTCTGCGTGAAAGCCAGAGAGCACAGGAGGAGCGGTGCCTTTAGCTTCTCACATAGGACAAGGCTTTGTCACCTTCCACTGTCATCTTTTTCTTCTGCCTCAGCCACTTGACAAGGAGTCCCTCCAAGGCAGGTCTGTGTTACATTCCTCCAGAGCCCACCTGAGACCTGGCTGGAAGTAAATGCTGAGGGATTTGGGTTGGGTGGTCGAATTTTAGTGTTTTGGCTTTTTCTCTAGGCTATAAGCAAAGGAGAAATCTCCTCCCTTTTTCTTAGAGAGTTACTAATATATTTATCTGCTTTATATAACCAAATTCCCTTCTCCCAAATTCCTGCTATCTACACAGAATTTTAGCCCATTTCATGACAGAAAGGAAATTCCTCTAAGTAGCAGGAGCTCCACCTACCCTTCCCAGGTGCAGGGTTTGGACAGGGTGAGGGTGTGGGCATGCAGTGGGAGCCCAGAGGCCTTCGGGGCTGTACCTTCCAGTACTTGCACTTGGCTTTGAGAGGATGATGTGGTCTTAGCAAGGGTCAGCAGACTTCCCTTCCTCAAAAACGCTGATAGTGGGAGGCTCAGAGCATAACCGTGGCCAGCGCTCATAGGTGGCGCACCCTTAGGGCACAGGTGGAGCAGGGCAGGCCTAGGAGACCCTGAGGGTGGCGGGTGGGCCTCTCCCTCCACAGCCTGCCTTTCCAACGTCTCCATCCCACAATGGAAAGCGGAGTAAAGGAAGAGTCAGGGTCAGAGGGCAAGATGGTAACATGGGACTACGGGTTTGATTTTGCCCTTCCCTCTTTCTCCTTGGAGAATGAGATATACATACCCTTTACTGAGGCTAACAGAGGGCTCTTGGAGAGAGATACTCCCCCATTTTATTTTTTGGCAGCACCCCATTTCCCAAGCTTTGGGAAATGATGGTATATAGATATCTGGTTCTCAGGCTTGAGTGTGAATCAGCATCCCCTGGAGGGTTTGTTAAAATCCACATTGCGGGCCCTACCCACAGAGCTTCTGACTCAGCAGGTCTAGAGTGGGGCTTGGGAATCTGCATTTCTAACAAGACCCCAGGTGCTGCTGCCATTGGCGGTCTGGGGACCACACTTTGAGATAACTCTATTTTAGCATAATGTTCAGCAAGAAGATGCTGAGAATCTATCCATCATTACGGGACAAAGATTTACTTGCTTCATGTGTGCTTTACTCAGAGCAGCTTTCCTTAGTCCCTCCTCTCCAATACAGAACCTGAAACTCTCCAGGCCCACAGTCCTGGGGGAGGACAAAGGGTTTAATAGCCTGAGGGGACCCCAGGGCCTGGGCTGGCAGAGAAGGCAAAGAGAAGTGTTCACATTTTGTTCTTTCCTCTGCATAGTTCTAGAACTCAGACATGTATTTCAAACACAACTCGTTTAGTATTTCTTAGCCCTTGGGAAGGTGATTTCTTTCCAGAAGGCAGAGAAGCACATAGCAAATGCCATATGCACGGGGTGGGGAAGGGGGTCGGGGCAGGGGGATAGTTGGGACATGAGTCAAAGACCTGAGCTTGGGCCCCAGCAGGGCTCTGGGACCTTGGGAGGGTCGCTTCAGCTTTTGTAGTATCTGTTTCCTTAACTGTGAGTATGTTAGAATAAAACTGAGCTTGAAAGGGTCCCATGAGCGTCAAAAGAGCCCCCGTGAGTGACACTGGAACACTATCTGGATGACAGTTCCAGTGAAGCCAACCCACGCTGTCTTGGTTTCCACAGGAAGGACCAGTACCTCCTCTCGCCTGTGAACTGCTGGTATCTGGTTCTGCATCAGACCAGGCGGGAGAGTCGAGACCACGCCACTCTCAATGACATCTTCATGAACAATGTCATCGTCCGCCTCTCACAGATCAGTGAGGATGTCATCAGACTCTTCAAAAAGGTAGGCAAACAGGCCCCCTGACCTGCCTGGGTCTCTGCCCCAGGCTGGCCATGGCAACCCTGTGCCAGCCAGGGTGTCATGTGGCCTGGGGACGTGAGGCCAGGAGGGCAGGTGTGTTGAAGGGAGCGAGGGGCTGAGGGCTGGCCTTGACCTCCCAGATCCTGAGTTTCAGTCCTGAATATGGCGGGTGGCTCTGTCATTTTTGCAATCACCACAAAAATAAAAACATTTTCATGGTCATATAAGTAGTTCGTGTTTGTTCCAGGAAATTTGAAAAAATGGACATGAGCGCACACAAAAATTAAAATCACTTGAAATGTTATCACTCAGCAGTAGCCACTTAAGTGTCATAGGTATTTCTTTATCATGTACATATGCAAATACATTTTCTTTGAGTGCTCATATATTTATACATTTGCCAGTAGACATATGCACTTTCCCCAGTGACATCAGACTGCATGTATGATTTTACTGTCTGCTTATGTCACCTAACATTATGTAACACTTAATTGCATAATTTTCTCATGTCAATAAATATTATTTCTATAACATTTTTGAATATTTCATTCTGTAATGTACCCTAATTTATTTAACCAATGTCTTATTGTTGAACACTTAAGTTATTCCATTCTTTTACTCTTACAAACAATGCTTTTGTGAGCAATGTTGTACAAAATAACAGGGTCCGGCAGAAGTAACACCTGCTTAAGTGTGGTTGGTAGGTACGTGACTGTCTCGCATAAGATGGACAGCAATTCGAACACCTAAAATGTCATATAGTGTGCTTAAATGTGATATTGTTATGTTACAGAATTACATGCTTATGATTTCGTAATAAAAAACAGGGGCATTATTTGTGCTGGACCCTGTGTACACCTTTGTTACATTCACTGCTATTTCCCAGGATTAGTTTCTTCAACAGGAATTGGGAGGTCAAAAGTTTGCTTATTTTTAAGTCTTTTAACAGAGTGCTCAGTTGCTTTCAGAAGGCTTTCACCCTGTAAGGGCCCAGAAGCCCAGTGGAGGGAGCAGTCACGGTTCATGCCCCTGAGGCCTCGGTATCCCAAGCCCTTTGCACAGCGCAGAGCAAACACTAGGTGTTGTGTGCAAGTCTGAAGAACTGAACTCACTTCTGTGACCTTCAGTTTTCTCATTTGTAAAGTGGGCAAGGTATTTAGTCTTCCTGAGCCTCATCCTCTTTATCTTGCAAATGGGGTTAAGATCCACTACTTCGCAGGAGCAGTATGAGGGTTAAAGGAAACAGTGCCAGTGCAGGAGGAAGGTGTTGAAAGTGGTTCAGGGTGTGGTCTTTGGGTCCAGAATTCTTGAAATTCCTGGGGTCATAGTTCTGGTTTCATCATTAGCTTTCCGTCATTAGTCTTTGGGCTTGTTGCTTATACTTTCTGTGCCTCAGTTTCCTCATTTGTGAGGTGGGGATAGAAATACCCACTGGACAGGTGGGAGGATTAAGAGGGTTTTTAATCCCAAATAAAGCATGGAAAACAGCATCTGGGCCTCAATGCTCAGGAAAACCGGCTATGGTTATAGGAATGTAAGAGACTCTTACTACTAAAATGATCCAGCTCATTTGTTCTTACCAGGTGCCAGTTTTAGGGATTAGGGGACCTGGGATTGCTAGAAACACAGGAAGAGGACAAGATGATATGAAATATAATAATCTCATCAGGGTCTGTGTTAGGATTGTCCACTCTGTGGATGACTTTATAACAAAACTGTGATCACAGGCCAGTTCCCTCCTTCCACAGGGTGCTCGGGTGCCCGCCTGGGGCCATGCTAATGAAACACAGTCTAAGTTTAATATTTGTATAAGCAAACATAATTAGGAAAGTAAATACAATGCAATAAAAAAAAATCACATAGCGCTTTGCAAAGCCCCACTGAAGTGATTCAGGTCACTTGGTCCCATCACAAGCCTCTGCCTGCTGCCACTGTCACATCTTGTTTCCTGGGCGGGGGTGACTCAAGAGAAAGGGTCGTCAGAGCCTTTAGGAAATGGAGGGTCTTTTTTCTGAGCTGAGGCCAGGGACAAGCAAGATGAATCTTTGCAGTTCTCATTTAGGCTGACAGCGGCCTCCCTTGTGATGAGGTTAACAGGGTGGAAAATAATGAAAAAAATGTCTACAGCTGAGCTCCTAGCGGCCTTGCTACCAGGCTTGTGCCTGTGGAACAAAGGAAACAACCCAGCCCCTGTGGGCCAGGAGAGAGATGGGGACAGGGCCTCGCTGGCTGATTGAGTCCAGCACGGCCCCTTTGTGTCACATCAGTTATAGATAATCTCAGCGCTGAGGCTGCACTCCTTACCTGATAATAGCTCCTGCAGGCCTCAGAATGACTGCAGGGGCTGCCGCCTGGTCAGACTGGGGACGGGGGTCATCACTCGCCCATTTTATAGAAGAGGAGGTAAAGCCTGTGCAGCTGCAAGGGGAACACAGACTTGGTGACTCGGGGCCTATTGTCATCACTGGCAGGGGGCAGCTTGGCTGTGCTTTTGGAACCTCTCAGAACTGCCTCTCACTCACTGGGTGACCCCGGGCAAGTCTCCCAGAGCATTAGTTTTCTTAACTGGAAAATGGAGATGGTGACAATGTCTCCATCAGAGGCCTGTTTTGAAGAATAGATGTAGGCCAAGTGTCCAGCACAGGCTTGGCTTTCAGTAGGTGCTCATTGAATGTTGGCTTATGAGTGATTCTGAAGAATAGAGCCCCCTCTCCATTCCTGAGATAGACAGCACTTGGAGTGGGGCAGGGGAGTGTGTTCCTTCATCACCCCATCACTTCATGCTCTAGCCATGCATCTGCAGGAGGTGGGAGTGGCTTCCAGGCCAGGTGTTCTTCCTGGGCTTAGGCCTGGGTAACTGCCTTGACTGCCCACTTCTCACAGATGCAAGATGCTATTTGACTTAGTAACTACCTTTTCTTGATTTGCCACTTTCCCTTTTGCAGTGGAATTTATTTATATGACTAGAGGAAGCACTTCAAATTCTAGAAGCCATTCTAGGATTTGTCTGGTCAAATGGACTTGTACATGCAGGTGGCCCTTGCTTTAAGTGTGAGGTCCACCATAGCAGAATGGAACTGGATGAGGTCTCAGAGGTCATTGTAGGGATTAGGACTCTTATGGTTGCAAACAACAGAACCCCAGCTCAACCTGCTTGAGAGAAGAAAGGGAATTTATAAGCTCTCTAGAGCCAAGCCGGGCTTCAGGTGTGGGGGACTTCCAGGGCAGGAAGGAATTGAGTCTCTGCAGCTCGGTTTTAATCCCACCCCCCACCGCCACACACACCCTTTTTTAGGAGGGGCAATGAAGGGCTCTTTTGTAGTCAGTCTGTTTCCATGTGATGACCAGATGACCCCTGGCAGTTCCAGGCTTACATCCTACCTGCTTCAAGTTCAGTGGAAAGGAAGAACTCCCTTTTTCCAGAATTGAATCTTATGGGCTCTGATTGGCCCGATGTGAGTCACGTGAGCACTCCTACCTGTGGCTGGGGGATACAGTGTGGACTGACCAGGCCTGAGAAACACACCCACCCCTGAAGCCAAGTGTACACTCATCTTCACCTGACTCATGAGACAGAAAATGAGTGAGGGGTGATTCCCCAAGGAAAACGGGTGCAGTAAGTCAACAGGTATCTACTAGGCTTTACGTTCCAGTCCTTTTATCATCCTTCACAAGAGTATTCATCCTCCCTCTGCTGGATCTCCCTCAATAAAGGGCATTCATTACCTCTCAGGAAAGTTCATTCCATTTGGGGACAACCCTGATTAATAAAAAAATTCTCCCCATTGTTGAGATGAAATCTTACAATGTTTCCATTCAGAGGGCCTGGTCATGCCCTGAGGGCAACATAACTCAAATTTACATGGAAACCTGTCAATTGCTTGAAGACAGGAATCATGATCACCTACCCAGGTCTTTCCCACTTCTGGGTAACATTCCAGTTTCCTTCACTTATCTTTGGTGATTTGGCTTTGTGTTTCCTCCCCACAGGGATACTCTCCCTGGGTCACTCCCTGGGTCTAACCCACAGAAGTTAATATTTGGGAGCATTCAGAATGCTTTGGTCTTTCCAGCTAAGAGGAGAGCAGGGATATTGACTCTTCATTTTTAATAATGAAATCTGTGATGGCATTTTGCCTTTTTCATGATAGTCTCTTCACCCTGAACTCTCAGCTCAAATTCCCAGGTGTTTTTGTGCCAACTGTTTTTTAATCTATCCTATGAATTTTGCACGTTGGTTTTTTTTTAAATATTTGCCCTTTAAAAACTTTATTGTATTAGAGTCTGGTCAAATGAGATCAGTGTCCTTATTTAAGTGATTTTTCAAGCAGCAATGGGGTATCTTTTTGAAGAGGTCCTAATTCCTCCTTTGTAGGAAAGGCCTGTTTTATTACTTCTCTGTGTCTTCCTCCTTAATGTTAGCTTCTTCTATGACTCAATTCTTTGGCCATATGTTTAATTCTCCTGTATCTTCACAGTGGAGAAGTGGAAAGTGGGGCAGAGAGTTGAGAATTAGATACAGTTAAGGGGACTCTTGAGTTGGGTATTAAAGGCTGAATAGGAGTCTGCCAAGTGTGGAAGGGAAGTTGGGGGTTCAGTGTTAGTATAAAGGCAAGAGCGTAGTGGGTACAGTACATCATGATGACCATCCAAGGCAACTCACAATGGAGGTGGCAAAACAGTGGTCCACAGCTGATTTCAGTTCTCAAGGGTAATCTCACTATGTTAAGAAAATTAGAGAGCCAGTCAAGAAAATCTTCGGGGTGGAGACTTCCAGTCAAGATGGTGGCATAAGTAAACATGGCTCACCTCCTCATACAACCACATCAAAATTACAACTAAATTATAGAACAACCATCACAGAACCATCAGAAATCAAGTTGAAGGGAAATCTGACAACTACAGGATTAAAGAAACCACATCTATCCAGACTGGTAGGAGGGACACAGACATGGAATGGGCTGGTCCCACATCCTCATGTG